AGACTCAAGGACGGCTTACAACAGGGCAACAGCCCTGATCAGTGCCAACAGCTGACCTGACTGGCTACCTCCCTGGACTTTGTTAGGGGGGAGGTAACGTGTTTAAAACAATAACAATAATAATATTTATATTTATAACAAGGTGCAATAATAATTAATGTGCAATAATAACAGTGTGCAATACACATACACTTATTCTTCTTTTTTATTACTAAGTTATTATACTGTGCTGTTGTTTGTGTTGCGTTGTGATGTGTCGTATTGTGTCGTAGGACAGTTTTCCAATTTCATTGTACTGTTGTACTATGTGTGACTGTGCAATGACAATAAAGAGTTATCTTATCTTACATGCTTCATTTTTTTCACTAAAAACTTTATTTGTACAGACAAAGGAACCGTAATGCTGCGTCTTCGTTAATGAACATCATCAGGAGGAAGAAACTCACATGTTTGAACTTCCTGTTCGGTTGGCAGGTGAGGAGAGAGTCGGCGCTCCCGGCACGGCAGAATACGGCCGGAAACGGGAAGTTACTGAACAGAGCTGGGTCTGCGTGCACCAGCCGCCGGGTGCCCCGCATCACCGAAGACATCACACTCATAGCTGCAGAGGGACAGGTGAGCCTAACGTGCGAGAGAGCAAACATCTGCAGGTAAAACGTCATCATCATCATCATCATCATCATCAGCGGGAGGCGGTCTCACTGAGACCATCGATCCTCTCTGTCGGCCTCACAGCCCACAAACTCTGCAGGTAACACACCCGCACACATCCTGACAAGCAGCAGCCAATCAGCTGAGTGTCTGACACGCTGTCTGGGGTATACACAGCTCTATATCGAATATCCTCAGCTGACAGTTTTAACATACCCACCCTGCACGTATGGTTGTCCAGTCCTCTGCCTGAAGCAGCAGCATATGAAGTTTACATATTAAACATGGTGAGATGAAAGCTGGATGCAGGTGGCGGACTACATCTATGCCGAATTAACGCGAGTGCTCCAACACATCAGGAACTAATGTTTACATTTTGTTCTGAAACATCTCGGCACCACAAACCGTAAAAATGTGTCTTTTGTAAACGAAGTTTGGAGCAGAGTTTACGGACCGACACCGGAGGACTCCGGGGGACTCCGGGGGATAGGTTCGTTCATTCGGACGCCGAATGTGAACGTGAGACTTAACAGTTCAGACCGATAAGAAGAATCATCGATCCGTGGAAAACATAAACACTAACAGCTGTTAAACAGTGTTTGTGTCGCTCGGCTGAACTTCCGGCCTGCAGAGGAAGACGCTGATTAAAGAAACGTTTAATCAGAGCCGACCGTGAAAACTGAACCGAGCAGCTCACCTAAAGCCTCAGGTGTAGTTCGTTCACGTGACACTACCTGGCAGGGTTTCTGAGTGACGTTTGGCTCTGCCTGACGTCAAAACCGGAGGACTTTACGTCGGAACTACACCCAACTCAACCCAGCAGCAGAGCGTCGGAGAAGGGAGCGTCACGGTACCTCAGCAACCCCGACATCCGCCTCCGGTCGGTCTGG